CACTTAATTTAAAAGTTGTTAGACATAGTTTACTGGCTCTTTCAATTTACATAGTGAAACAGAAATCTAAATGTGTATCCATTGTTCAATGTGTACATTTTAGTTAGCATAGAATTCTTGTATACTTTCTGTTCGATTAGACTCCATGAACTGATTATTTACGTTTCTAACAAAGGTGTTTAATTCCTACCCGAAAATTTACCGCACTCCTAAAAGTCAATTTATGATGCGACAAAATTTCTGTTAGGTTAAACAACTAATTATGTGTTTAAAAAGTATACCTTTGGACTCAACCCTTCATTAGACCATAAGTCAGCAATTATGTGATGCTATAGATATTGTAGACTTGAAAAACAAAAAAAAAGCACGAAGAGGAAGTAAGGTCCAGCGAACAGTGTCTCTAAGTACAGGCTTATCGATGGAGACATGAACTTTAATTATTGCCATCCATGCCTGATTACACAGGAACAACGACCAGCTCTTTCCTCTATTCATAGTTAATAATAATTCTGCATTGAACTGTTGTTGTCGCATACATATATATTTTCTCCTTTCTGCCACATTTGTATATCTTCTCTTTTTTGTATGTATAAATACATATATAGATATGTATGGATATTTATTTAAATAAGTTACATTTTTTTTTTTTTTTGCAAATGATTACATCAATAGGAGGGATTGTGTGAATACAGCATATCTTAAACCTCATATAAAATATTGTTAGATTTAATTATCTAAAAAATAACAACAATAACAAAACCATATAACAAACATCAACACCGGGGCAAAAACCATAGACTGGACAATTATGTAGTGTGTCCTGGTTTTTGAGGTACCGGCGGACCCAAATTATTGGGGGTACCTCGTCTACTCGGCTTAACCACAAGTTCGCCAATCTCACCTGTTTAAAAAGAAGGAAAAAAAAAAGAAAGAAAGAAGAGAATAAGAAAAGAACGGTGAAGTGTAGTGTTGTAAACTATTACTTTACATCTTCGTTGGAAGTGTTGTTGTGGCCTGAGAAACCGTGCAGAAGTTATCAGCGTTGGTTTCGTGTTTGGGAACAACTGGGGCTTGGAGATCACAAACAACTTATAGCCAGGATGAATAGATAGAATAGAAGAAATTAATAAATGTGGGATTTACAAAATTCATCGTATCTCTTGTCGAACTTACACTGGGCAAACGTGAAGAAATTTAAAATTCAGGATCAAAAAACATAAAATCCCGATACAAAATAAATGAGTCGGTATTAGCAGAAACATCTCATGTTATAGACTAGGATAACACCAAGTTGATAACTCAGGTGACATTTAAAATTGAATTAAGTATCTTAGAAACGAGTGAAAAAACAACAAAGTTATTGTATTAAACAAATAAGCTTGTCCAAGTCTAGAAATAATAAACTACTGGACAGATGTTGTAACTCTGGGTAATGTAAGCCTAGATGGCAATATAGGAATATAAATAATTATGTGGGTATAAAAGTCTCAACCTTGCCTTTACTCCTGACGGTTTTGTCATAGAACACCGAAATATGTGTAGAGTCTTTTTTAGGGCAAGTATCCCGGTTTTTAATAACTATTTATTGTGTAATT